CACTTGCATCATAGTTCTATAGATCATATTCACAAGAAACAAAACTTTAACTCAATGTTATAAAAACTTATCACTTTAAGGAAGTAAAAGAAGACCACCACATTCGCCAGAAGCAAAAACTATGACTAAGTTCTGAAAAACGTATCACTTTTCAAAATTAGCAAAGATGCTATCATATCCACAGGAAATCAACATTTCAACTCAGTATTGAAAAATAATCAGTTTTCAGGAGTAGCAACTATACAATCATCTTCGCAAGACACAAAAACTTCGACTTAGTTTAAAAAAGAATTAAACTTTCAAAAATAGTAAGCATACAATTAAACAAGAGAACAACGTTCAATTCATTCATAACGATTGAATCATGTTTCACATGTAGCAAGTATAAAATATCAAAGTTCAACTCATAATAAACATTTAATCATGTTCCACAATAGCAAGTATACAGTCGCAAAAAAGCATCGACAAAATTTTGAAAATACAATTACTTCTTAGAAAGGGTGAGTATACTCACCACTTGCATCATAGTTCTATAGATCATATTCACAAGAAACAAAACTTTAACTCAATGTTATAAAAACTTATCACTTTAAGGAAGTAAAAGAAGACCACCACATTCGCCAGAAGCAAAAACTATGACTAAGTTCTGAAAAACGTATCACTTTTCAAAATTAGCAAAGATGCTATCATATCCACAGGAAATCAACATTTCAACTCAGTATTGAAAAATAATCAGTTTTCAGGAGTAGCAACTATACAATCATCTTCGCAAGACACAAAAACTTCGACTTAGTTTAAAAAAGAATTAAACTTTCAAAAATAGTAAGCATACATTTAAACAAGAGAACAACGTTCAATTCATTCATAACGATTGAATCATGTTTCACATGTAGCAAGTATAAAATATCAAAGTTCAACTCATAATAAACATTTAATCATGTTCCACAATAGCAAGTATACAGTCGCAAAAAAGCATCGACAAAATTTTGAAAATACAATTACTTCTTAGAAAGGGTGAGTATACTCACCACTTGAATCATAGTTCTATAGATCATATTCACAAGAAACAAAACTTTAACTCAATGTTATAAAAACTTATCACTTTAAGGAAGTAAAAGAAGACCACCATATTCGCCAGAAGCAAAAACTATGACTAAGTTCTGAAAAACGTATCATTTTTCAAAATTAGCAAAGATGCTATCATATCCACAAGAAATCAACATTTCAACTCAGTATTGAAAAATAATCAGTTTTCAGAAGTAGCAAGTATATCATCATCTTCAAAAGACACCAAAAATTCAATCACTCATGAAAAAAAATTACTATTCAGACGTAGCAAGTATATCATCATATTCACTTAAAACAAACACTTCAACTCAGAAATTGAAAAGTATTCATTTTTCAATTTCTATACTCAATTCTATATTCACAAGAAGCAAACAACTCAAATAAGTATTAAAACATATATAATTCCAAGAAGCAAAAACTATGACAGAATTCTGAAAAACTTACCATTTTTCAAAATAAGCAAGTAAGCTATCATATTCACGAGAAACAAATAGTTCGGCTCATTTTGAAAAATAATTCACTTTCGAAAAGGCATGGTTACCATCATATCCACAAAAAACCAACACTTCAGCTAAGAGTTAAAAATTAATCTGTTTTCAGAAGTAGCAAGTATAACATCATCTTCAAAAGACACCAAAAATTCAATCACTCATGAAAAACAAAATTACTATTCAGACGTAGCAAAAATATCATCATATTCACTTAAAACAAACACTTCAACTCAGAAATTGAAAAGTATTCATTTTTCAATTTCTATACTCAATTCTATATTCACAAGAAGCAAACAACTCAAATAAGTATTAAAACATATATAATTCCAAGAAGCAAAAACTATGACAGAATTCTGAAAAACTTACCATTTTTCAAAATAAGCAAGTAAGCTATCATATTCACGAGAAACAAATAGTTCGGCTCATTTTGAAAAATAATTCACTTTCGAAAAGGCATGGTTACCATCATATCCACAAAAAACCAACACTTCAGCTAAGAGTTAAAAATTAATCTGTTTTCAGAAGTAGCAAGTATAACATCATCTTCAAAAGACACCAAAAATTCAATCACTCATGAAAAACAAAATTACTATTCAGACGTAGCAAAAATATCATCATATTCACTTAAAACAAACACTGCAACTCAGAAAATGAAACTATTCGTTTTTCAATTTGTTTATTCAATTCAAGCAAAAACTATGACTAAGTTCTGAAAAACGTATCATTTTTCAAAATTAGCAAAGATGCTATCATATCCACAAGAAATCAACATTTCAACTCAGTATTAAAAAATAATCAGTTTTCAGAAACAGCAAGTATGTCATCATCCTCACAAGATACCAAAAATTTGCTCACAAAAGATTGAAAAGTAATCATTTATCAAAAATAGCAAAAATGCCAGCATATCCATAAGAAATCACCATTTCAATTCAGTATTAAAAAATAACAATTTTAAGAAAACAATTACACAATCATATTCGCAATCCAAAAACTTCGACTCGGTTTTAAAAAACCAATCATTTTTCTAAATAGAAAATACGCCAGCATATCCACAAGAAACTAACATTTCAACACACTATTATTAAACTATCAGTTTTCAGAAATAGCAAGTATACTATCATCGCAAGATATCAAAGTTCAACTCAACAATAATAACATTTAATCATGTTTCACATGTAGCAAGTATACAGTCGCAAAAAGCATCGACAGAGTTTTGAAAATACAATTACTTCTTAGAAGTGGTGAGTATACTCACCACTTACATAATAGTTCTGTAGATCATATTCACAAGAAACAAAACTTTAACTCAAAGTTATAAAAACTTATCACTTTAAGGAAGTAGAAGAAGACCACATTATTCGCCAGATACAAAAATTATGACTAAATTCTGAAAAACTTATCATTTTTCAAAATTAGCAAAGCTGCTATCATATTCACAAGAAGCAAATAGATCGACTCAGTTTGAAAAAAATTCACTTTCAAAAAGGCATGTTTACCATCATATTCACAAAAAACCAACACTTCAACTCAGTATTAAAACTTAATCAGTTTTCAGAAGTAGCAAGTATATCATCATCTTCGCAGGACACCAACAATTCGATCACTTATCAAAAAAATAAGTACTAGTCAGACGTAGCAAGTATATCATCATATTCATGAAAAACAAACACTTCAACTCAGAAATTGAAAAATATTCAATTTTCAAAAATAGCAAGAAAACCAGCATACCCACAGGAAACCAACACTTAAAATGAGTATTGAAAATTAACGCTTTTTCTGAAAAAAATTTCGCAAGTAAAAAAAATCCTATTCGCAAGCCAAAAACTTCGACATGCTTTTAAAAACTAATCATTTTTCAGAAGTATCAAGTCTACCATCTTATCCACAATAAACTAACATTTCAACTCAGTATTAAAAACAAATCCATTTAAAAGTAGCAAGTATACCAACATCTTCGCACGACACCAAAAATTCGATCAGTATTTTAAAATAATCAGTTTTCAGGAGTAGCAACTATACAATCATCTTCGCAAGACACAAAAACTTCGACTTAGTTTAAAAAAGAATTAAACTTTCAAAAGTAGTAAGGATACAATTAAACAAGAGAACAACGTTCAACTCATTCATAACGATTGAATCATGTTTCACATCTAGCAAGTATACAGTCGCAAAAAAAACAGAACAAAAACATCGACACAGTTTTGAAAACATAAAAAATCTCAGAAATGGTGAGTATACTATCATATTCGCAAGAACAAAAAATGACAAAATTCTGAAAAACTTATCATTTTTGAAAATTAGCAAGTATACTATCATATTCACGAGAAACAATGATTCCAGCACTTCAACTCAGATTTAAAAAACTAATCACTTTTGAAAATTAGCAATCTACCAGAATATTTGCAAGACAAAAAAATCAGCTCAGTTATCAAAACCTAATCACTTTTCAGAAGAAGCAAGAAGAGCGTCATATTCACAAAAGCAGACACATCAAATCAGAGTTTAAAAAACGAATCGTTTTCAAAAGTAGCAAGTATACCATCCAATTCACAAGAAACCAGCACTTCAACTCAGTATTAAAAAAATTACTCAGTTTTTAGAAGAAAAAAGATACCATCATACTCACAAGAAACAAAACTTTGACTCAAAGTTTAAAAACTAATCGTTTTTAGTGAGTAAAAAAATATCATCATATTCAAGCGATTCAACCCAGTATTATAAAAATAATCTTTTTCAGAAGTAGCAAGTACACCATCGTATTCGCAAGAAGCAAAAATTTCGACTCAGTTTTGAAAATTTAATCACTTTTCGGAAGTAGCAAGTAAACTATCATATTCGCAAGTAAAAAAACCAACTGGACTTTATGATCCCCACAACTATTTTCTTAATTATGAATGAAACTAAGCAAGAAAAATATAGAAAAATAACCGATGTCAGAGTAACCTGCGAAACAGAAAATGACAGTAGATCTCGATACAGAAGAAGCCACAAATGAGGGACAAGAGGAGGGCCAAACTACGGGCACCTAGGCAACAACAACAACAACAACAGTAGATCTCCATAGGCAGCATTTTTTCAAGATAACAAGCTAAACTGCAGGTAAAGATGTAATTAATTCATCCGAAAATTGACGTTCCCCTATTTTTCTCTCCCTCTATGAAAATAAATGAGAAACCGGTATTGGAACCGGATGACCAAAAAAGATTTAAGAAATAAAGAAACTTCTTTAGTTTCAACTTAATTTGGTTTTTCGGTGTTCGGCCAAAAAGCCGAAGGACCAACAAGCCGACAATAAAATTACCATTCCAACAAGCCGAAAATTAATATTGTTAGGCAACCTATGAACAGATTGTCACCGTTGTTATGAAATTGTTACGTAATTCTGATAAAATTTCCTCTTCAAGATATGGCGGTTTGTTGAACGACCACCTATTTTCTTACCTGCTTGTTGCGGAATTTGAACTTCAGTAATGACTCCCACACTACCAAACAAATGCCTCAGCCGCTTCTCATCCACTCTCCAATGCAGATTTCGCACTATTATTCGCCCACTTTTAGTTGACTCTCTCACTCTCGTCTTGTCTTTCTGCTTCACTCTGTTCGTCTCCCGCACTCTCTGCATTTCATCCTTGATCTCGTGGTTCTCTATTCCCACTATTTTAGTGTTCAACACACAATCTAAACAAAATGAAGTAAAACACTAATTATGCAAGAGATGAACTGACCTTCTTATTTTATATTAAATGCGCGCAAAATCAAAACCTACCAACCAAGTAGGAATACCTTTAATGAATTCAAGTTAATCGAAAAAACAACAAAGACAAAAATTTATCTTTTCAAAATTTGATTAGGACTAAAAGCGAGGGTCCAAGAACAGGCAAAAAAAGTATATCTTTTAAGGGAAACTTTTGTTGAAGCTAATCGTGTAACCATAAATTGAAGCTAATCCATAAATTGAGTAACTTGATCAAGAATTTTTACACAAAACGGAGACTAAGGCGAAAAAACTTGGGTCGACCCAAAAGTTTCCTAAAGCCACAAAGATTCCAAAAATAAGGGTCAAAAATTCTCCCCACTGAAGTTTTCGAAGGTGGTAAAATATCCGATGATTTTAAAAGAGAGACAGAGGGAGAGAGAGAGAGAGAGAGAGAGAGAGAGAGAGAGAGAGAATAGCAGAGTATCTACGAACACATGTGAACAACTGTTCTGTCCAATGGTACCAAATTTTTGAAAATTGATAAATTAGTTCCCAGAAATTTTTTGCCAAAAAGGCAGAAATTTTCATAAGCATCTCAAAAACCCAAAATAAAAACACAAATCGGATATATCACATAATACTCTTCCCATGTGTAGATACTGACTTCTTTCGTGAAAAACTACAACTTTGAAATTTCACAGTAAAAAAAACATGCCTTAAAAGCACTTTGAATATCAAGAAATACTTGGCCAGCAATTATTTGATAAAATTAACCCAATTTGAGACAACTGGATCAAGAGATAAACTTTTTATTCCGCGGGGAAATCTAGAAACTAAATTCCACTTTCGAAACTAGAAGTCGATGACGTTTTTCATGACCTTAACACTTTTAATGTTCGATAGTGGAGTTTGCCTTCACTTTAACAAAGGAAACGAACTGAACAAAAAGAAATCAAGTCGAACCGCGAAAAATTAAAATTGTGCCTGAACAAACACCAAGACTTTTCCTGGAAAAAATAATCACGACCTATATAATCCTCTTTGAATTTCACGGTGAACTTATGTTTGGCCTTTTTTCGATAAAATTAACTCAGTTTGAGAAAACTGGATTAATAGGTATAGCTTTTATTCCACTGGAAATCTGAAACTTCAATTCTACTTTCGAAACAAGAATTTGTTCACGCTTTTTGCGCCAATTTCCACGTTCGTATTTGGAGAAGACTATTTCCGTAACTTTCAGCGGATGAAATTCAATAGAACTCAAAAACTGCATATATACCTAAGTTCATTCATAAATGTATTAATATGTATGAATGTACATCTGCAGTTATTTGAGCATTTTCAGACTTTTTCCTAAAAAAAATAATCTCGACCTATATAAGATTATGAACTGCGCTCATCAATTCTTAATAAGGAAACGAGCTAAAATAATTAGGAGCAAAACATCGCTCCTAAATAGGAAAACTCGAAAAAAAAATTATTAAAAAAAAGGAATGAGACATCGCATGCTATCAAAAAAAGAAGAATATGGTATTGACTTCTATAGTATTGTGTACAGAATTATCATCTTGTAAGCAAACTGACGTCACGGCCAGAATCCCGTCTCTTGTGATAAAAAAACGTTACAAACACACGATGTGATTAGAAAAACTTAGCGAGAAATTCTCGAGTCCCCTCAAAACACTTAGAATTTTTTACTCCTAAAACAAACCAGAAAGAGACCTTTGAGCCGATATTTGATAAGCCGAACTATTTCAAGCCGAATAAAGAAAAAACGATAAAAAATCGGAAGTGGTAAATTTACAACATAAAAAAAAAATCCACTGGAACAGGCATTGAAAATACAGACATACTCAAAAAGTGTCCGTTCTCTCTATTTCTGTTCGTTGACGAAAGTAGAGATGGCCATAAACACAGTTTCAGTCATCCTGCGAACAAATTTATTTACGGGGAAAAAAGTCCAAAATCCGATTGATTTACCCTTGCTTATCGCAAGGGTAAAAATATCAATTAAACAGAAATAACCATTTCACATACATGGCAACATGACAAAGTATTGATACAAAGAAATATATTTCATGTAGATTTGAGCTAAAATCATTCTTTATAGTAACAATTACAAAATCATCACTTTAACCGAATGATTTAACAGGAAAAAAACATCTATAAACTCCAACAATTCAGCTATATTAACACCAAGATCCCAAAATCTTTCATTCGGACATACTGTCATCAGACAACAGAATCTGGACAGCACCGGACCATACGAATTTAATTACTAAGCTTGGACAGATATTTCAATAAAACGGCAATAAAAAGACCATCATAGCAAATTAGACACTAATCTTCAATTGGTCAACTGGAATTGCATAAACAAAAGACAAAAAAAATATCATACAGTAAGTACACTACTGTGGAAAAGACCTCCAATCAAACGAAAGTGTAAAGATTAGAAGCAAAACTGAACACTGATGAGGAAGACTTGGGAACAACATATCTGCCTTACAGCAAAAAAAAAAACAACGATAGAAAAAAAATAGCTCAATCAGAATAGGAAACAGAAAAAAACAGATGCCCTTCGAGCTATTTATATTTCTCTCATTGAATTGGCACTACTTCGATAAAATTAACCCATATTAAGAAAAATAGAGCAACCAATATTTTTATTTCGATGGGAAATCTAAAAAATAAATTCCACTTTCCAAAATAGAGGTCGATCGTTTCTCGTGAATTTGACACTTTTGCTGTTCGATAGTGGAGTTTGCCTTCCTTTTAACAAAGGAAATGAACAGAACTTAAGAAATCAAAAATCAAAATTAAATCATCGTGACCTATATAAGAGTCTGAACTACGTTCATCGACTCTAAAAAACTGCTTCAGATGAATGGCAACATGACAAAGAACTGATACAAAGAAAACATCAGATTTGAGTTAAAATCAGTTCTCATAGTAGCAAGTACAAAATCATCACATGGTAAACAAATGATCTCTAAATTGAACACAACCCAGATAAACCTGATCAAACTTTTGAGCAAAAAAAAATTCGAAAAATTTAATCAGACAAATTCTTTGTGGATAAAACTTTAATAAAATTGGTCGAGGCAGAGGCATTGACGACTAGGATACCCTCATCAATTCAGATTAAACAATTAATCAGTTATCATAGCATCAAGTACCAAATCGACACAAGGTAAACAAATGACATCTAAAGTAAACAACTAAGATGAACTTGATCATCTTTTTTACCACGAAACCCCGAAAAATTCAATCAGACAAACTCTTTGTGGATCAGAATATCAGAACAAGAACAACAAACCGTATAAACTACAATCCGCTAGCTGGAGCTAAATTAAGCCTAAAATATAGTAGCTCTAAAAAGCTTAACGAGTGAAATAAATCGGTATGAACCAGTCAAGACCAAACGAAGTCCTGAAATAATTTGCCGCACAGGGCACTTACGCTCACACAACAAAAAGCCACTAACAAATCAGATACAACAGATGCTATTTATTAGCCAATGATATGCAGCAAAAATGTCATTGTTTGCTCGTTGGGTTGTTCTAACGATTTCATATACGTAGCAACATGACAAAGCAAGGATACAAAAAACAAAACATTTCTAATTCAGATTTGAGCTGTAATCATTCTTCATAGTAGCAAGCACAAATCATCACTTCAATGGAATGATCTACCAAAAGCAAAACAATCAATAAGATCCAACGACTCAGCTATATTAACTGCAAGACCCCAAAAATTTTCACTCAGATATAATATCATCAGACGCCAGAAAGTGGACAGCACTACACCATACCAATTTGGACATTACGCTCAGACAGACATTCCAATAAAACAGCACAAAAACACCATCACACCAAACTAGACACTAATCTTGGATAGACAACCACTCAATTGGAATTCCAAACAAAAACCAAGAAAACTATTGTACAAAACGAACACTACTGTTGAACAGAACTCACAGAAAGGTAAAGATTAAGAAGTACGACTACTATGAACACTGCATACTGATGAAGAAGACTGCAAACAACAGATGTTCGTTTCAGCGAAAAAAAAACCGATAGAAAAAAATAGATCAATCAGAACTAGAAACTGAAAAAAAACAGATGCCCTTACAGCTCTATAAATGTCTCTCATTGAATTGGCAATGTTTTGATAGAATTAACCCACATTAAGAAAACTGGAGCAATTAATATTTTTATTTCGATGCGAAATCTAAAAAATAAATTCCACTTTCCAAACTAGAGGTCGATCGTTTCTCGTGACTTTGACACTTTTGCTGTTCGATAGTGAAAATTGCCTTCCATTTAACAAAGGAAATGAACAGAACTTAAGAAATCAAAAACCAAACTGCCAAAAAATAAATCATCGCGACCTATATAAGAGTCTGAACTACGTTCAACGACTCTAAAAAACTGTTTCAGATGAATAACACTATGACAAAGAAATGATACAAAGAAATAGTCTTTAAATCAGATTTGAGTTAAAATCAGTTCTCATAGTAGCAAGTACAAAATCATCACTTACAGCAAAATATTGACCAGAGCAAGGATAAGAAAAAAAAGCTCCTTATGTTCACCAATGTTTAATCAAAAGTCCCATAAACATTTCAATCAGATATCATTTCATCGGATATGAGAATGTGAACAGCATTACATCATACCAATCTGGCCAGTATTATTGGACAGAAACTTCAGACAAACCGCAAAAACAAAAAAGACGTGCTAGCAGGAGCTGAATAATCCGAAACAAGCAAACTGCCACAAAAGATGTAACAACACATAAAAATGAAAACAAAGGAAACATTGAAAAAGATGCATATGAAAATCTGGATAAACTTAAAAAGAGTTAGATTGAGATTGCATTGATAGCAATTCAGATTCAAGTCTAAAAGAATGAACTTTAGACTATTTTTTGAAAATAAGTTAGCAATGAACTTCAAATTTTTAGACACGACATAAATTAA